AGGCCGGGCGCGTGCCCGGCTCTGAGGAATGGGGGTGTGTTCCTCGCACAGCGCGGGGAAAGACGTTACCCCGAGCCGGAGGGGAGAGTCTGACAGGAAAGACGCGGGGTTTGGAGGAGGAGAGGTTCACGGGGGGGTGGTGACAGGGAAAGGGGCAAGTTTTCTCCCAGAAATGAAATAGGCTGTTTTACTTACAACGGGTGTCGTACCTCAGGCAGCTCCCTGCGCAGAGAGATCCGCTCGCTGAGCGCTTCGTTAAAGCCATGGGTCTCCAGGCCGAGCGGCCGCTCTCCCGCAGCAGCCCCTGCCCCAGCCTGCAGAGGAAGGGACAGGAGCTGGGAGTCCGGGTCCCCCTCCGCCTTCCCCTCCGGCCGCCTGCCCTGCTGCTTCACCACGCGATAGCCCTTCCTGGCCTTGCTGTGGTTCCTTTTGCCGGTGGGCGACACAATGGCCACGATCAACTCATCCTCCCGCAGGGACAGGAAAGGTGAGAGCCCATCCAAAGGGTAATACTGCTGGCTCTCCTCCTGGGTCTCCAGCATCTCTTGGGTCTCCGCGAAGTCCATCCGATACCCTTCCCGGAGGTTGAACTCCACGGGCTGGAAAGTCCCTTCCTTGCTCTGGTTGCTGGGTGGTGGATTCAGCGTTGTAACCATCAGTAGCAAAAAGCCCAGCATCAGCAGCAACAAGAGAAACCGCAGCTTACGTGATCCATATCTGCACTTCTTCCTCAAGAACATACTGTTGGTGACAAAACGATACAGATGGTCATGTTAAATATCACTTGGATCTTTCTCAGACTCCAGTCCTCGGGTTGCAGCAAAGCCCTGGTTTTCACTATCTGCCAAGAGGATTTTTTTGCTCCCCTCGCATTTCACTGATGCCGTTTCATGCTTTCCTCGCTATTTACAGACAAAATAGAACATTCCTACTAATATTGCACTTACTGTAGTAAAACCTAGCATGGATCCAGTGAGATAAAGTAGCTCCTTTATTATACAGAGTCCCAGCTTAGTTCGGAAAGCACATGTTTAGCTGATGAAAAGAGTAACTCAAGTTTTGATTTTTTTCCTTTTAAAATTCTAAGTAAAAATCAATTCCATTTCTTATCGTTTCCCTCCAGAGTAAATCCTGCTTCTTCAAAGTTTCCAGTTGCTGCCTGGATTGAAGCGCCTTATCTCTGAAAGCAGATCTGACAGCTCTCCCCCGTTCAGAGGCTTCAAGTTAACTGTGATCAACAGATGAGAACTAGTCGGTCCCTGACTTTGTTTCACACATAACTACGGCACTCAGTCAGGAAGCACTTTGCCAGACATAATACAGAGCGATGTGTGCGTCTTTCTCTTGGTCCTAATGCCCTCACTGTTCTTGTCCTATCAAATCAAAACTTTGCAAAAGCTGTAGGAGGTGAAATATAAGAAGCAAAACATTGTATTAGAAAAGAAATCAAGGCACACCACGAATCACTCTACTTCTGAATAGCTGTATTAAGCAAAGAATGCTCAGAGCAAGAAGCAAGAATTTTATAAACTGAGTAAAAGACGGAGTGCACATGATTTATTTAAGATTAGATTTATTCATATGGTACTGTGCTAGCTGGAGTATATGAGTATATTTCATATTCAATAAATATTTACAGCTGTAGGGATTTTAACACTGACATAAGGATGCCAAATTATCACCTGGCAGACTGAAGTTTTCTTCTCATCCATAAATTTAGTATTGCAGAACAAGCAGCACTTCAAGTTTTCATTAGTCCAGGAATAACATGTAGAAAGCCTGGGCTGGAACAACAGCGACTGACACTGAAAGAAAACAACTTCTGTGATTAAAAGGGGAGCTCAGTCTCTGAGGTCTGTTTGCTAATATTGCTGGCACGGGTGCTACTGGGCATGGACTGTGGCATTTTTTGCTGTGAGATGGATGCTTGTCCAATGGGAAAAGGGGAGAGACAGTCCACATTCTTCAGTGTCACATGCCTCTTGGTCTGGCAGAGATCAGGTATGGATGTAACTCAGGTGTTACCAACCCTTTTGATGGTGGGGTCATGGGATGTGGTTTTTTTGCATATCTTGTAATATTTGATGAGCAGAAAGCTCCAGCTCCAGTAGCCATGTGATTACTGGCGAACTTCCACGTTCACCATTTGTAAAAAAGTACACTTCTAGGTATTATAGGTAAAAGAAAAGCCTGAAGGCATGAATGCAGTATACTCTAAAGGGAACCAAGGATTTGTTCTGTTTTTTTCTCTTCCCCATTACTTCCCTGTAAGGTGTTCTGTAAGTTCAGCCTATGGTTCCTGGTAAACAGCTTCCAAAAAATTAAAAATGAGAGGACACCTACTTTCAAATTAAAATGAGTCATGGCCTTCAGAAGGAAGGACGGGATAGAGCACCTTAAAATTCCTGGAGGCATGTAGCGTCTCTCACTTCTGTGTGTACTCCCCTAACCTTCTTATACAGAATGCCTTGAGGCAGTGTGACCAGTCTGCTGTGTCTTGGCACCTTCCCTACCTCAGCTGTTCTTTAAAAGGTATAATACTGCTTTAATCATATCATATTTTGATACTTCACCATTGTGTCTGTCTCCCCTTTTTAGCTTAAATTCAGAGAAAAGTAACATCCCAACCCACCTTCATCCCTAAGAATATTACTCTTTATCCTGCTTTTCATAGGGAAAAAGAAGTGTTGATGTTTTCTATTCAGTAGGGAAGCAGCACACATTTGCATTTAAAAAATCTGAGTTCAAAAGCATTCATTTAAATAACAATATGTGTCAGCCATAGAAAGACAAAATGAAATGGAAATGAAGAGACCTGTCCGAGGCACTCTGCAAAAAGCTGGCACCAGTGACTTGCAAAAGGTTCAGTTCCACAGAGTCCCATTATCAGGCATATGGAAGAAAAGAAAAGAAAAGAGAAAAGAAAAAAGAGAAAAGAAAAGAAGAAACTTAAGAGTGTGTGGAATACAGGGGAGAAAGTATTACTGGCTTTTTTTCTTTTTTACTTTTCTGATGTACCCAAGTATTTTGATTTAATTTAATTAATATTTTTGCCCTGGCTAAAATATTATAACAGGGTGCTGTAACAGCTCTGATCAAGATAATTCTAGCCTGCAGTGGTAACTGCTGTATAAATTCTGTCCTGGTATGTTCTGTGTTGCTGAGCAAATCCACTGGGGTCTCTTGTGCAGCTATGTTTCAGCTATACATGAAAAGAGACCCAATTAACAAATTTACAGCAATCTGCTACTTTTGTGACACAGCTGATGGTAGGTAATGTTATCACTGAAACATATGCATATGGATCTGTCCTTTGAATATATCCTGTCCATTTTAACAAAGAAGAAATGAACAATTACAGAAGATGTTTGGAGGTCACTTCAGTCAATTAAATGTGCAAGTATAAAACACTGGGTGGCACACTTCCAGCAGCCTCTATTCCCTGTCCGGCATGGATCTCTGTTGAAACTTGCTCACAACCATCCCCAGTTCTGCACAACAAGCCTTCCTGAACCATCTCCCATCAACCAGTCCATTTTCCAACTTCCTCTCTTAAAAATGAGCCAGGAAAGCACTGTGGTTTTCCACTGCCAGCATACAAAAGAGAGGTTGTCTTTCCAATGGATGAGCCTTTCAGTGTCTGAGAGGACACATCTTGTTTCCAAAACGCACTTGAAGAGCAGCATCACTTTTTATCATGTCCCCACCTGGAAGTCAAGAAGACTACATCCATCGTATTTTCTTTCTACCTGTGATTACTAAAAAGCATGCTACAAAGTAGGCCCTTCACTGGGACATGGAATGTGTTGCTCCTCCTGCCGAGCTGTGGCAGAGTCCCTCTCCCCAGGCATCCTGGGACACTTTCCTGTGCATCCTTGGATGGAAGAGGAAGGAGCACTGCATGTCCCAGGCTCTACCCACAGGCCTAAAGCCACTGCCTCCTTCCCCACTCCCACTCCCTTAGTGCTGCTTCATGCACGTAGCCCATGAAAGAGGCTGCCCACAAAAGGTATTGTCCTTGGACTGCTGTTCTACAGCAGACCCTAGAGCTCCTCAGTCAGTGGGAGAGGAACATGTACAGGCTGCGCAATTCTTCCGGAAAGGGCCAACCTCCGGTGCCAATGTTGGCCAGTGCCAATATTGGCCAGTGCCAATATTGTGTTGTCTTTCCTGATGGTCAACCCATGCAAGTGCTAAAAGACTTAGGCTCCTACCAGTCCTGGTCAGGCAGACCCAGTTGTGGAAGGTATACATACCTTCAGTAAATACAAAGCTAAGCCATATTGGCTAATCCATTCTTTAATGCTTGCTTATGCCTCTGATTGGTGAGAAAGAAATGCTCACTAATTGCCAAGAGCTAGAACTTGAAATGAAATCTAGGTCTTAGTATCCATTTGAAAAGTATTAGGAAACATAGTTGCTTTATCCAGAGTAATAAACCTCTCAGTCACTGTGGTGTAGCTGTTTGTACTTACCCTTTCCTCCCCACCTCATTTTGGCTTTATTTTTGTACAAACCATTCCCCATCACATACTTGTTAAATATTATGTGACATGTTATGTTATCGGTATGTGAAGAAACAACACATACTTTCAATGTGCAGAGCCCATATTTAACTGCCAGGAAAATAACAAAGCAAGAACAAAACCAAGGCTGGATGGAAGAAAGAGCGTGTGGACAGGTTGTTACTTACTCTTTAATAAACATCTTGGATTGATTTACACTCCTATGCCAAAAGCAGATGTGCCACCTTCCATTTAAAGACTCAACACGTAGCAGCACTCATGGTTTCATAGCTGCATGTATTATATGCCACAGCTCTTTGTGCTTTTTAACAATGGCTTTGTTTGCACAGAAGTGAAGAAAGTCAGTGCATAAAATGAGACTGATTACATGGTGCACAGGATCTGTGGTGGTTTTATAAGCAAGTTACTTTCCCCATTCTTTCCAGGATACAGTAAGAAATATGTTATTTCAGATTATCACAAGATATAATTTATTTGCAGGTGTTGCAGACGTTTTGTGTACTTGGCATTGTACCAAATATTGTTCATTCAATGACATTTTCTAATAGCAAGTTAATAATAAATTAGAACAAGATTGTGTGGAACTTGGCTTCGGAGGCTATCGAAGCTCGATAAAATCTGTTGATCACTGGCAGGGATTTTGGCACTAGCATTGTGATTTATAAGATGTTTGCCAACCTGTCAGTGAAGGAAATGCAGCTGAAATTCCATTTTTACAAGATTTCTGCTTATAAATCACATGGTCAATGTAAAATGGAGCATGGAAGCCATGAACCTTTGCACTGCTTTGCAAAAGCAGTTCTGTGGGCATGAAGGTCAGCAGCTCTTGGTGGAAGGTAGAGGGAACATATCACAGGAATGACAGCTTCTGGATTTACTGCACCACAGCCTCTGGCTAACTCAGAAATGGTAGCTCTCAGGACTTTAAGGGCAGTAGTATGTACTCTGTGCCTGAAACCTAGCATCTAACACAGCCTTAGTTACCAGCTATCTGTGAGGGGTGAGACTTTTGATCACCATTAAGTCATCTAGGAATGATACATCTCAAGCTCTGTGGGCAACACACATGCCATCACTACCTCCTGCCTCTTGTACTCAACTGCTATTAATATCCTTAAGCTGGAGAGGGTTCTGTATACCTCCACCCCCCAGTACACCAACCCGAGGTAACCTGAATCCAGGTCTAAACTGGTTGGGACTATTTTAGTGTCAACACCCTTCACTGGAAAATCATCCCTCGTCGACCGTAAAATCTAACCCACTGTTAGAGACAGTGGGACAGATTCTTAGCTGGCTCTGAATTGCTGTAGCTGCACAGGTAGCAATGGAAGTCAGGTGGTTTATGCTTTTGGAGTGGCTGGCCTGGCCTCTTTAGCTTTAAAAATGAAACAAATGAGGTAAGGGAAATTCATCTGTCATATAGTATTAACAACATCAGTAGAGTTACTTCAGGGATAAATTCAGACCTATGGATGGAGGCTCACAAGAGGGAAATCTCCACCACTGGTTCCCTCTGGGGATCTCTGCCTGTAGAGTTTCATCTGTGGTTGGAAATTTACTTTAATTCCACAGAACAGGCCATGAAACCATTTGCAAACAGAGCATCTCTAGAAATCTGAGTGATACTAAAGACATCCACAGCAAAGCCTTTTTTCTCTGCCAAGTACTCTCTCCCTGGTGGCAGCTCTAACTTCATCTCTACTCTGTTTCTTTCTGCATG